GCCATTAGGGTTTCTCAAAAATTCCTAACCTCTCAAAATCCAGAATACAAAATAGTAAATTGTTGAATATTTTCATTCATATCTGTTGTTAAGTAGTCATAAGAACGTTTTCGATGGAGCATCTTCAGGGAAATATTGTGCGGCTGGGTTTTGTCAAAAATTCCTAACCTTTAAAAAGACAGAAGACAAAATAGTGAATTTTTGAACATTTTAATTCATATTTCCTGAACGGTTACAAATTGCTGAGTAGTCTTAGGAACCTTTTCGATGGTGCGTCTTCAGAGCTATTTTTTGGCCGTTCGAATCTGTCAAAAATTCCTAACCTCTAAAAAGCCAGAGGAAAAAATACTGAATCTTTGCACATTTTGATCCATATCTCTTAAACGGTTACAAATTGCTAAGTAGTCATAAGAACCTTTTCGATAGGACGTCTTGAGAGCTATCTTCTGCCAGTAGGGTTTCTCAAACAGTCCTAACCTCTAAACATTCAGAAGAAAAAATAGTGAATCTTAGAATATTTTCATTCACATTTTTGTTTGAAGTTTTGAATTTAGGTAAGAGGCCACCGAGCAATGTGCAATGCAACATTGTCAAGTCTGTTCACTGYCTTAAAACAGGGCACCTTAMGATTGCTCYTGGTCTATTGCTGAAAGCCCCATTTGCAAAAATTCTATTGAGTCGGTAAAGCCAATTAAATTCTCCTCAAAACGTATAGTCGGGTTTGTAATTGGGAGTAGAAGCAAGCGAACAATGTGTAAAGCAACGCATAAGTCGTTCGATATGTTGTTGTATGGACAGTCCTTTGGAAGAAACCAGATCCAGGAAACCATCCAGCACTCCTCTCATCAATCATTTGAAGCTGGAAAACAAGCCCACAGGTCATTTTCCTGCCGACCTGTCCCGATGCAAATATCAGCAGCAATGAATTCACCTCGAGCATAATTCTCCATGTGAAAACAGTGACGTAAATTTCCCGGATTCGGCCAATTTATCTGATTGGTCTCTCCAGCTTCCTCCACCAGAACAAATAAATAAATATCGCCTTAGCCGGGAACTTTTAGCGCGGAATTCCGCAGCCCGTGTAGATTTATGGGCGAGTGTGAAAAACCGACCACTCGAACTGGATAACCCAAACTTCGATAGATAGATCTGGATCCAGTCGCGCAATTCTCATTATAGTCGCTGCTCGTCCAGAGGCTTTCCAGCCAAATTCGTCAACTTCAAAGGGGCACGTTCAACGTAAAAATTAAATAATTCAAAGGCCGCAAGGCCCCTTTTGTGCCTTTGCACGAAAAGTGGCAAAGAGTGGAAACGACACATGATGAAGCGGGCTCAAGCCGACTTTTATCGCTCTTAGGGAAAATTGGGGCTCTTTCAAGTTTCATTTGCCACTACCTGCGAAGAATTTCCCCATTTAGTATGTCGGAAATCATCACGGAAGGCCCTTTGCCAAGCGTTTATCTGTGCAGGAGCGGTGTAATTCAATATAGGGCCAGCTTGTCCTAATAGTCGTAATTGTCCACTAAAACCGCTTTCTAATCTGGTTTACTTGTACTAATTATCGGGCGCTGAATTGCTACTGCGCCCAATCATGAGGGGCCATTGTTTCGCCCTTTGTTACTCCCCATTGGCGCACTGATTGCTCGATTCATGCCCGTCTGTTTTAAAGCTTTTCACGGTGTAATCCAAGGCTGTTTGCTTCAATCCACAAACAAAATAATACACCTGGACTCCGGTCTAAATCCGGTATTCAACCCACGATCCGA